AGTGGCACATTCTTTTTACATGGAACAATTAAAGACTTGTCACTGATTTTTTTTTTTTTTTCTGAAAAGAGCTGTAGTATGGCTTTAGTTAACAGTGTATTTTTGGTTAGACAAACAGCTCTGGATTTCCCACTGCGACTCTTTTCTCCAAACGGAATGCTTTCTTGGTTGCCGTGGGGACCTGCAGAGGTTTTTGGTGCAGCTCCTGCCACCAGGAAGGAGCTTCCCAGTGAGTGGAGAGGCAGGAGGGGCTGGTGATTGAGAGCTTGTTCCCTGGAGCCAGGCCACCTGGGTTTGGATCCCGGTTTCACTAACTGCTGGCCAGGTGACCAAGCTTCCTCCTCTTTTTGTATCTCGCTTCCCTCACCTGTCTACTGCAGAGGTGGCTGTGAGTCCATGTAACGTACCTGGAATGGTGCATGGCACAGAGCGTTAGCTGTTGCCCTTCTAAGAAGGTGGGATTCCTTTCTTTATGCAGATGCTGCTGTTAACAGGGCAAGGGGCAGCCTTAGAGGAACTGAACCGACACTTCTCCAAAGAAGGTATACAGATGGCCAAGGGGCACATGAAAAGGTGCTCAACATCACTAATTGTCAGGGAAATACAAATAAAAACCACAATGAGAGATCACCTCACACCTGTTAGAATGGCTGTCATCAAGAGGACAAGAGATAACAGTGTTGGTGAGGGTGTGGAGAAAAGGGAGCCCCCGTGCACTGTTGGTGGGAATGTAAATTGATACAGCCACTATGGAGAACAGTATGGAGGTTCCTTAAAACACTGAAAATAGGGCTTCCCTGGTGGCGCGGTGGTTGAGAGTCCGCCTGCCGATGCAGGGGACACGGGTTCGTGCCCTGGTCCGGGAAGATCCCATGTGCCGCGGAGTGGCTGGGCCCGTGAGCCATGGCCGCTGAGTCTGCATGTCCGGAGCCTGTGCTCCGCAACGGGAGAGGCCACAACAGTGAGAGGCCCGCGTACCGCCAAAAAAAAAAAAGACAAAGAAAACACAAAAAAACCCACTGAAAATAGACCTACCATATGATCCAGCATTTCCACTTCTGGGTATATGTCTGAAGGAAACGAAATCAATATTAAAAGGATACCTGAACTCCCATATTCATTGCAGCCTTATTTACAATTGTCTGTTCTTGAGGAGGAGCCATAGCTAAGTATATGGAAGGGGTGGAGAGAGGGTTTTGTGCCCAGTGATGGCCTTAGGTTTCTCCTGGGACTCTCAGTGCCTCTGTGAGTAGGAGGGGGCTGGCTGCCTTTCTCTGGGCATATTGGTTCTCAGAGACTATTTACTGCAACTCTGATAGATGTTAAGAAAAATTACCTAAAATTCAGAAAAAGGAGTGTGCAGTTTGTCCTTTCAAAGTCACTCTTGGGCGTTGTTCAAGCAGCCTACCTGAGGATTTTTTCATATCTAAGGGAATGTACTTTTGTTTGACTTTGCTATTTGACAATTAATTAAGGGCTCAGACTGAAGTCATATGTCAACCTGTGGATCTTATCCAGTAGAGATGCAAATAATTTCTCCCTACTAGAAAAGATAACCCGGAAGGTTATGATTTCCTTATTGCCCAGTAGGCCAATAACCAGTTTTGTATCTAATCCCGGAATCTTAGTCTCTTATTCCTGTTTAAATACCCATAAATACCCAGTCCCTCAAAATTCTCTTTGAACCAGACCTACTTTCTTACTTGCTCCTTTACTGATGAGTTACACAATGTTTGACATGTGTTCATTCTATATTTGTGTGAAAGTCAAGTTTTTAACTTTTCGAAAATTACTCTTTGATGGTGACAGTGGGTATATTTTTTTTCCAGGTTTAAAGTAAGCTACCACATGACAGAAAACAAACAAGCACGTTTGTGTCGTAGAGTGTAGTGGATAAAGTGCCTTCCCACAAGCAATCACATTTTGACCTTGAATCTCGAGGTAGCTCTGTGAGGAAATAGAGCAGATGGGGCTAGGCTCACCGGACAGCTCAGGGAACTTAGACCCAGATTGAGAAGGGAGTTGACTTGTCCCCCAGGTCACCCATGCCCACAGTGGCAGTGCCAACAGGGCCCCAGAGTGAAGCCAGTGACATAGGCTGGTCCTCCCTCCTGTTTCTGCCTTCCACACCTGCCTATCCCGGTGAGATCCGGTTAAAATGAACATCATGAACAGCCCGTAAAAGGAAAGACACCCAGGTAGGGGCCGCTGGAAGGGGAGGACTGCTCTGGTGGCTTTGCCTGCATGTGCATGGGCCGCACTTGGCAGCCTCTTCTCCTCCTCCTATAGCAGCCGCTCGCTCCTCATGGGCCAAGGCTCCCCCAGCCTGAGTCCCCGGAGCCCTAGGGGCCACCTTTCAATGTAGTAACAGGGGGCCCGCAGCGACTAGCAATATTTCAGGAAGCTTAAGGGAGGTCATACATCTCCCCATGACAGGTCTGCCCAGACTAAATGAAATGTCATGTCTCTGCTTTTGGCTGGAATTCTGTCAGCTCTGTCTGGCTGCCCTGCTTATCTTGGGCTGATCAGGAGCCCTGATCGGACCTTATAGGCATCCTTGACAAATAAAAATGAATTATTACTTAATAAATGCAATTGGTTTGGCAAATATGGCCTTTCAGAGCTCGTCTCCGTAGAGCTCCAAAGAGCCTAACAGAAGGGGTTCTCAGTGGTCCTGAGGTGGGGACCTGCTGGCTCATCCAGGACCAGCTCTGGGTGGGCCCCCTCTCCCAGGAAACAGAAAATGGTGGCCCTGGGGCACCCAACATCTCAGCCTGAGTCTGGGAACTTGACATGGGGTAAAGTTCTGTTCCTGATGCCCACAGACACTGAGTACTGGGCATTCGTTTCCCGCAAGAAAAATGTCAGGAGCGTGTGGTAGCAGGGCACAGGGCGACAGTCTAAGTGTCAGGACTTTAGATAGCCTCTTTAACCCTGATTTCATCATTTCTTAAAAAGGGACAATGAAACCTAGTCTGACGCCCTCCCAGGAGTGTTATGAGGAATCAGGGGCACCTAGGTCCCAAGCACCATGATACTCTCATTTACCTGACAGTAGCCCGTGAGAGTGGCACTATTATTATTTCCATTTTGCTGAAGTTGAGAGTATGACTAACTTCTTTAAGGTCACAAAGTTCAATTGAGAAGTGCAGAAGTCGGCGTGAGCCAGTATAGAATAGGGGTTACTGGAAGGCTGTGGGTCACACCTGGTTTGAATTCTGTCTCCACCTCTTTCCTTCCAGGTAGCTCTGGGTACATTAAACCTCGACGAGTCTCGGTTCCTAATCTGCAAAATGGGGATCGTGATTGTACTTGCTTTTAGGGCTTTTAATAAGGATGACAACTACTGTTACTAAAGTAGACTTGATGATTTAATTGGAGGCCAATTATCATTGATTGGGATTCAGAGGAGACTAATGGGGTTCGGATAAGCATCAGAGGCCGGAACCTCAGCATCCCAGAAAAACATGGAGAGACAAGGGTCTCACTCATGTTGAAGGCAGAGTCCTATACTCACATGTTTGGCCTGTTACAGGCAAGGGGATGAATAATAGAACCAGTCTATGATATGTAATTTAGACCTCAATGAAGCTGTTTAACAAAATAGAGCCAGTTCCTGCCATCATATAGGAGCTTATGGTAGCGGGCTAGATGATGGTTAATCAAATAATAGCACAAAGAGTGTGCTAGTGATAGAAAAGTGTGAGAGTGTATGGCAGGAGAACATCATTTAGTCTAGGAGGTCAGGGAAGGCTTCCCCAGGGAGGTGATGCTCAGTTGGGGTGGGAAGGAAGAGAGGAGTGAACCAGGTGAAGGGGAGATGAAGCAATGTTCCCGGAATATCATGTGCAAAGGCCCTGAGGTAGGAAGGCACAGAGATTATTAGAGAAGAGGAAGAGAGCAAATATGGCTGGAATGTCAGTGTGGTACAAGATGAGACCAGGGAGGGAGGCTGGGCCTGGTTGTACAGGACTTTGTAAACCAAGGAAAGGAGTCTTTATCTTAAGACCCTAATCCTATGTTCCCCATCCCACGGGCCCCAGCTCCTCTCCTCTAGCTGGGATATGTTTGTTAGTGACCATGGGGTCCAGCCGAGGCTGAGGGATGCCAAGGGCAGTGTGTGTCCTAGGGCGTCAGCTTCCTGGCTTAAGCATCTCTTTGTCCTGTGGAAACCCATCAGCAGACCACCTGTGGGTCCGGGTCTGGCTCTGTTCAGCAGCTGTTCCCTAGCTGGGAAGAGGCTTTTAGCTTTAATGAAAAGGGAGTAGAGATAAGGAGGCTGCCTCGGCAGGGAGAGCAGCAGTGACAGGATGATTTAAATGGCCTCTCCAGTGTCATTTCTTCTGTGCAGACATCATAAATCAGATTAGCATTGGGCTGTGGCAGGGAGGGGAGTAGGGAAAGGGGGCTGAAGGGAGAGGGGAGAAGGGCTTGTGATTCTGGGTACTCCTGGGACTGGCCTGGAGCCGCTGAGGCAGCCCTAGAGGGTGGTGGGGGTCACCTAGCCCTGGTCCTCAGCCCTCTGGCCTTGTTCTTTGGAGAAGGGGCAGGTAGAGTGATCCCTACCCCCACCCAGCTTTCCAACTCATATTCAGCTTTGGGGGAAACAAGGAAGAGGGACTGAGAGAAGAGAAAAACCAGGGAAGATTGGAGGGGCAGGTGTGGGAGGTGGGTGTTACAGCCTTCAGAAAACCTAGAAGCAGTGGTTCTCCTACCTTGCCATCCATTAAAATCACCTTGGGCACTTAAAAATAATACTGATGCCTGGGTACCACCCCTAACATTTCTGAGTTCCAGCTGAATCTCATGTGCAGCTGAAGTTAGGAAAAGCTGGATGAGCGTTGAGCTTCTATCAAGAACGGTGCAATCTCAAGCCATCCCTTCCACCGTGACTGCTCAGGCCTTCCTCTCGAGAGTGGCCAGATTGAGGGGCCAGAGGAGAAATCTCTGAGGCACGTGGTAATGAGGTGCAACTCCCACCCGCCTCCCTTCTCTTTCAGATCTCGCGCCACCTGGGCAAGATGTACAGTGAGATGATCTTTGTCAGCGGCTTCGTGCACTGTGACCCTCACCCAGGCAATGTGCTGGTGCGGAAGTGCCCGGGCACAGGAAAGGTGGAGATCGTCCTGTTGGACCATGGGCTTTACCAGGTAGGAGAGCCCTTTCCCCCCCAGGGTCTGGTCCTGCCTGGGCTCAGAGCCCGCTGAACTCCCCTGTTGGCCACAGAAATGGGAAGCAGATAGCAAGGTAGCTGAAGAGGGCCCAGCCCTACCCCTAGTGCTGTTATTTTGTGGAAGTCAAGGTCATAGGAGCTCCCCAAGCTCTCCGAGCCTCAGCTTCCTCCTAATAGAGCGAGAGTGATAATACCTCCTTTAGAGGCAGCTGTCAGGGGTGGACGAGATTGCGCCTGGATGTGTGAATGGGCTTTCTCAGCTGCAAAAAAACCTTTTTCCCAGGGAAGCCCAGGCCAGCCAGACCCTGGGAGGTGAGCTGCCCTTACATGAGCTGGACTTCAGGGGGAAGGGTAACTCAGCCCCAGTGAGGAGGTCATATGTCACGGGAAAGGGCGCAGGGAACTGATAGGGGTTGGATGGTCCCGACTGTCCTCTGGAACTTGGGACACAGAGCAGGTTCCAGCGAGCCACGTGTTCCTGCCTGGAAGTTGACAAGTTCAGTGTCAATCCCAGGACCCAGGGCCTGGCTTGATTCCATGAGGCAGGTGGTCCTGGGGAGGTTTCCCTGGTGGTCTCCTGCTTCTCGCCTCAGAGCCCTGATCCCACATCCCCAAATCTGGGCTTCCTTTGAAAGGCTCAGGGGTGTTGGGCATGTTAGTTTAAGTTAGACACAGCCCCCAAGTGAATGATGGCCCAAACACAACAGATGTCTAATTGCCTGCTCACACACCAGTCTGGGGTGCGTGGAGGAGCCTGAAAGCAGGTGCCGACCGAGGCTGTTGCTCCCAGGTCTCCTTGGGGGTCTCGCCACCCACAGCAGCAGGGGTAAGGGCTCAGAGGAGCATGCATGGGAAAGTTTTCATGGACCAGGCCTGCAAGTGGAGCTTCTGCCACATTCCATTGGTCAGAGTTCAGGCAGAGGGCTACATCTAACTAGGAGGAAGCCGGGGATCTTAGACTGTACTTGGGAAGAAGAGGGGAATATAGATTTTGGTGGGCTGTTGGTAGCCTCTGCCACTCAGGACCAAGGCTGGCCAAACAGTGGTTTTGTGCTTGGACCTTCAAGGATGGCTGACTGTGGGAGAGGAGCAGACGTTGTGCAGGAACCACGGTTTCCCTCCACTCCCCTTTGCAGTGGTCACACCAGCCAGGGACTAGGTCTTGTATGGGGAGAGGGGGCCCAGGTCCTGCCATGCTGCCCCCGCTGTAGGTGCTCACGGAAGAGTTCCGCCTGGATTACTGCCACCTCTGGCAGTCGCTGATCTGGACCGACATGAAGAGCGTGAAGAAGTACAGCCAGCGCCTGGGAGCCGGGGACCTCTACCCCTTGTTCACCTGCATGCTGACAGCCCGGTCGTGGGACTCAGTCAACAGGGGCATTGGCCAAACTCCAGTCACCGCCACTGAGGTGGGTGCCCCCCGCCACCCTGGTCCTGCCCTGTCCCGGATGCAAGGGGCAGGGCCAGGCGTGGCCTTTGGAGCCCTGCCAACCCAGGGTCTGGGGTTCTATACTGGTGGGCTGTGGGGATGGAGTAGGGGGCAGAGTTAGAGAGGTACTGGTTGAGGAGGAGGGAGGGAGGGAGAAAGAGTGTGCCTGGATGGACAGAGGGAAAGGGGACGCCGTCCCACTGTGTCCCTCCTGGCCTTATCAACCTGGAATATAAGTAGGTCACGTTAACTGTATAATCCAGGCTCTGTGACTTTCACTACAACCTGCTGTCATAAGATTTCAGGCTTCCACCAAGTTCTCCCCCAGGACTTCTGGGAATCCCCAGGGACTGTCTGGTGAATAAGTCTGGCACCACCCGCTGTCTCCTGCTGGGCACCATCTCCCATCGTGGGGTTGCTCTAGGGCACCCTCCTGGGCAGGGGGCTTCACTCCTCACGCCGTACTCAAGGGCTGCTTGTCCCTTCATTCCTATGGAGTTTTTAGTGAAACAGCTCTTTTGGTCTTTTTGTTTGTAGCTCATTCCTCCATCGGATCGGGAGTCTGGGCTGAGACCGATCCTAGGAACACCTTCTTCCTGTACTTGTACTCACCTCTGCCCCTCCAGTAGGGGCTTAGCGGGTAGCTCATTCTTCCTGGCTCAGGGTGAGCTCCCTCCCAGGCTTCTTAATCCCTCATGGAATTGCCTTCTGTCTTCCCAGTCTGTCAGTTTGCAGACCTTTGCAGACTTGCCCGTGTCCATGTGGGGAGGGGCTTACACTCTACTGCTTGTGCAGTAGAAAGACCTGGGCTCTGGCTCCAGCGCCTGCTTCTGGTGGCATGACCTTGGATGGTTCTAGTCACCTCTCTGAGCCTCAGAGTCCTCCCTTGCGAGCTGCCTTGTGGTGGGGGCTTTAGGAATGGCTGGGTCCACAGTCTCCAAGCAATGTCACCAAACCACCATCCGCCTCTTGCCATCTCTTGGCTCTGCTTTCCTCCAAGTTGACATCGTTCCCCAGCAAACTTGGTGGCAGAGATGACCACCAGGGGCTTCCCTGGTGGCGCAGCGGTTGAGAGTCCGCCTGCCGATGCAGGGGACACGGGTTCGTGCCCCGGTCCGGGAAGATCCCACATGCCGCAGAGCGGCTGGGCCCGTGAGCCATGGCCGCGGAGCCTGCGTGTCCAGAGCCTGTGCTCCGCAATGGGAGAGGCCACAACAATGAGAGGCCAGCATACCGCAAAAAAAAAAAAAAAAAAAAGATGACCACCAGTTACCCCAGGCTTACACAGCTTTCAGCTCCTCATCTCAGAAGAAGAAAAACAATCTCCTTCGTTTGTTGGATAGGGATGATAGTTTCTGCTTTATTGATAATGCATGTAAAATGCCTCCTCATAGTTTCTGTAATTTGTTCACTGAATAAACATTTGTTTTTGCTGGACCCTGGACTGGGTGCCTGTGGATCCAGTGACGAACAGACAGACAGGACTTCCATGTAATTTGCACTTGTAGAGGAAGACAGACAGTAAACAAGTGAATAAACAGGTAAATGGAATAAGTGCAGGTTAGAGGTGCTGGGGGGGGCGGGCGGGAAATAAGCAGGGTGCTGTGATGATGGGTGGTGGGGGGATGCTGTAGAGGAGATCTTGCTGGGGAGTTGACATGTAAGCTGAGGCTTGAAGGACAAGAAAGGCACCAGCCACAGGAAGAGCTTGGAGAAAGCACTCCAGGCAGAGGGCACGCGATGCGTTAAGGGGGCAGGGTTGGGTGGTCTGGAGTGTGTGAGGAGGGTGGAGGACTGAGAAGCGTTTGGAGGGCTGAGCTGGGAGAGCATCACACAGGGAGAATTTCAGATTCATCCTCAGAACAAAGCAGAGCCTTTGACAGGTTTTGAGCAGGAGAAGCATGTGCTCAGACTCACTATGTTAAGTATTTCTCTGCAGTGGGGCAAGATGAGCAGTGGGGCAGGACTTCAGGTGGAAAGATGACGGGGCTCAGACTACGCTAATGGAGGTGGAGAGAAGCAGGTGGGGCTAAGGTGTATTCTGGACATAAGAGTGAGAGGCCTTTCTGTCGGCTTGGACGTGAGGGGAGGAAAAGGGAAGAGTCAGAGTTGCATCGTAGCTTTTTGAGGTGAGTTATGGGGTGGAGGGGGCACCACTTCCTGACATAGGAAGACTTGGGGAAGGACATGTTTGGGGTGGGAGGGTCAGTAGTTCTCCTGAGCGTTCAGATAGAGGTGTCGTGGGCAGTTAAGCCTGGTGCTCAGAGATCCAGCCTCGAGACACATAAGTTTGGGAGTCTCCAGCGTATAGATGGTATTAAAGCCACAGGGATGGACAAGATTGCATGGCACACAGTAGGTTCTCAGTGAATGATATCTGGTTTTATTAACTAAGTTAGAGTTTTGTTTTTGCAAGCGGGTAGACATCCAGCAGGTTCCAAGCTTGACGGCTGTGCTGCTCTGAGAAAGAGCCTCTCGGGGTAGCCTGGGTGGACACAGGGGCTTCCGTTTGGGCTGAGAGGGGGTCTGGTGAGCGGGTCCTTGATCTGCCCTTAGCCCCCGCAAGCAGGGCGACCTGCAGCTGTGCGGGGAGGTGGCGGGGAGGCAGACAGCCTCTTGGTGTCTGGCTCGTGTTGAGATGTTCCAGTCTGATAGCTCCTGCCTGGGGGACATTTCAGGTTTCACAGCGGCTCAGTTGTCAGCGGCGCATGCGTGTTGCTGAAAGAGCCGAGAGCTCTGCTCCTGCTGCAGAAAGCGGCTGGGCGGGGTGAAGCGCTTGGCAGCATTGCTGAGCCCCTTGGGGTGACTTTGACAGGCCCCACGCGCCTCCCCGTACCTTATCCCTGATGACCCTCTGGGTTCTGCTGGGAGGTGGGCACAGACGGTGTTAACATGCCCAGTTTTTTGGGGAGGACATTGGGCCACACAGTCCTCTGTGAGATGACAGGCAGTGTAGTGGTGAGGGTGTGGGCTTGGGAGCTGCACGGCCTGGGTTTGACTTCTGACTCACCTCTTACTAGCTGCGGACCTTGGGGAGGTTACTTAACTTCTCAGTGCCTCAGTTTCCTCCTCTCACATGGGGGTATATGCTAGCCTACTAGGGTTGCCGTGCGATTAGGTGAGTTAACACATGCAAGCATTGTCAGAGCGCCCGGCTTACTTAGTGATGCGCCGTACGAGTGGACTATTGGCATCGTTGTCACCATCACTGTTTCTCTGGAGACTGAGAAGGGATCAGAGCCTCACTCTATACTCAGGACTCTGGCTAGAGGCAGTTATCTGCCCGGAACCATGCAGAGCTCAGGGACGGGGAAGGCTGGGAAGCCAGACCCCAAACTTACCCACCAGGATGGGGCAAGGGCAGCCCTGAATCCTGCTTTGGGGACAGGAGGACCTCGGGCAGTGGGCGGGCTGACGCTGGCTCCAGCATGGAGGACAGTGATAAGCGGTGGCCCGGTGGCAGGGTCAGCAGCTCAGACCTCTCAACTGCACCAGCCTGGGCGTGGCTGGAGAGATGGGGGACACAACTCAGAAGCACCAGCTTCCAAGGCTCCTTCCAGGCCTGGCCTGAAATTGGTGGCCAGCGAAGAAGCCTTAGAAAATAACACAAGGGTGGACCCCGGGCTCAGAGGCTGGACTCATCAAATGGTTGGTGGGGAGGTAGACTTCCTGCCCCAGTCAGTATGGGCTTGGGGGCTTGGGGGCTTGGGGGCTGGGTATGGGTGACCTTGGCTGCCGGGAGCTAGGATGGCAGAGGCAGCAGAAATGCGGCCTGGTTCCTGCTGATGTGCTTCTGCTCCTGTACCGCGTTCGGTGCTTGGCTAGAAGTTGGGTGAGATGTCCCATCCAGGTTTGTCTGGATACAAAGCCCCTTGGGCTAGGCTTCCCTCTGGGGAGGGTTCCCAGTGCTGCCGAGGCAGCTGTGCTAGGCGCTCCCTCCCGGAGCTTCCTTGCAGCCCCTCAGGTCACAGGCTGCCCGGACAGCCTGCCACCCGGGGCCCCACTTCCTATGCCAGCCATCTGTTTGTCCTCCTGTCTCTGCTTCAGGACTCAGAGATCCGCAACAATGCGGCCAACTACCTCCCGCAGATCAGCCACCTTCTCAACCTCGTGCCGCGTCAGATGCTGCTCATCTTCAAGACCAATGACCTGCTGCGGGGCATCGAGGCCGCCCTGGGCACCCGCGCCAGCGCCACCTCCTTCCTCAACATGTCACGTTGCTGCATCAAGGCACTGGCCGCGTGAGTGTGGGCTCTGGCCGCTCCTCCCCTCTAGCTCCCCGACCAGCCCCAGGGGTCTGCACACCTCCAGTTTTTCCCACCAGTCCCCAGGGCTGTGCCTGAGCTCCCCAATCTCCAGCTCTCCCTGCAGGAAGTTAGGGGCAGAACACAGCTCCAGTGACCTGGCTGATGCCTCGGGGCTGTGTTTTGAGGTGGTCCAGAGAGCCACCTCTACTTGTTAAAATTGTGGATTCTAGGACCTCACCCTCCTGGGCAAGCTTTGCAGGTGATTCTTACCCTTAGTAAAGTTTACAGTGTCTTCGGAAAATCTCAGTCCCATTCAGGCGTCCCCCGGACTTGGAATCGGGATGCCCGGGTTCGCATCCCATCTCTAGCTGGTCCCGGGACTGTGTCCCCAGCATTGGCCAGGCAGTGAGGCCAGTGTTCTTTTCCCTGCAGGTGTGGCTGTGACTCAGGAGAGTGTCACCAGCAGGCCATCTCGGAATCTCAGGTCTTTTTAGATGTCTCAGCACCCTTGAGGTGTTGATGAGGAAGGGAAGGGTGCTTCCTCAGGGGGTTAGTGACAGAGGAAAGGGGGTTCTAGGCTCTCCTAGCTGACAGTAGCAAATACACAGGAAGGCCTGTGCTCTGGCTGAATGTTCTCACCTGAGAGGGCAGGCCTGGACTGTGGTCAGCTCCGAGCCCATCCATTCTAGGCAGTGCATGGGTCATTCTGGTAAATGGGTGAAGGGAGTGTTGACCACATACATCATGCACCCACTATCAAATACGGAGTTAGATTACAGGAAAATAGACTGTATACAGAAAGGGCCGAACATGATTTATTCTTCCTCTGAGGTTCAGGAAACAAAGTCTCGGGAGTTCCTGGAGCAGTCCGGTGGTTAGGACTGGGTGCTTTCACTGCCGGGGCCCAGGTTCAATCCCTTGTCGGGGAACTAAGATCCCGCAAGCCACACGGCAGAGCCAAAAAAAAAAAAAAAAAGGAAACAAGTCTGGAATAGGTGGTCATCATAAACACCAATTTTCATCATGTCCTTTTGTTGGTGCAGAAGAGAATGAGCTGGGCTGAATCCCAGTGGCCCCAGCCTCCCACGACTACCTTGATTAGGTTTCCAAGCGATTCTTACCCTCAGAAAGTTTGGGAAAGCTTTTACATTTGGGTTTGGGGGATTCTGATTTGATAAATATTAACTATACTTTTGGAAAAAGGGAAACATTGGAACGTGCTACCCACTGGGTTCACTAGACCTTTGATACGCTGTGAAACAACTGCTTTTGCTGACCCCACTTACCTGGAAGATGCCTTTGGAATAGCTGAGTTCCTCTGGTCCCTGACTGGGCCGTGGTCTGATCCGTAACCAGGAGTTGTCCACTGGGGCAGGGGGCTGGTGAGTTGGCAAAGCCACCATCCTCCATTGTTCTAATGATACTGAGTACTTCTTACCTCTTTATCTCCTGTTCTCTCCTTCCTTCCTGCCCCTCCTGCAGGCACAAGAAGAAGAATACCCATTCATTCTTCAGAAGGACCCAGATCTCTTTCAGTGAGGCCTTCAACTTATGGCAGATCAACCTTCATGAACTCGTTCTGCGTGTGAAGGGGCTGAGGCTGGCCAGCTGGGTGTTGGCCCTGCTCTGCTGGCTGTTCCCTGCTCCACACTGAGTGGACTTACTGTTCCCTTCCCGGTGTGACCTTGTGGTGGCCAAGGGGTCTTTTCACTCCTCACTCTTCCATCGTGTCTCTACGCACTTGCCCCATTTCTGCCAGTTGGTGGCCTGGAGCCCCACGGTCTCTGTCCATGGCACCGTTGTGCTCCACCTCTGAAATTCCTCTCCTTTGGAGCCCTTGTCTTGGGACCCCCAAGCTGTGCCATGTGATAGGTTTCTTTCTCTCTGTATCCAGGGAGAAGACATGGCAGTCTGCTTTCCCGCTCCCCATGTGGGCCATTGGGTTGGATGCCCCCCCTCTTCCATTAACCCTTCCTGTTATCAGGATGGACCATGAATCCCACTGAGGGCACATTTAACTTGTAGGAAGTTTGATTTTGCTGGAAGGGAGCGTCGTCTCTGAACTGGAGAACAGCTTCCTCTCCTTGCTCTGTCACTCCCCAGAGGTGCCGACCTTAGCGAGGTGGCTTGGCACCCAAGCCAGGCTCTGTTGCAGCTGTGAGTTCACTGCTGTCGTGGTGACCCTTTGGTGTTTTATGTACTGTGATTCAATAAAAACCCCTTCAGGGTTGCAGAGCAGAGCTTGGTCAGTGGGATTTTTATTCCAGGTTGGGAGTGAATCCACTTTGGCCACTAGGTAGGAGTGGGTCTGGATGCCGTGTGCCATTGTGATCTGCTCGGCTTCTTGGCCCTGAAATCCTTCCACCCTTCCACTGTACGGCAGCTTTCTGATTCTTGTATGTTTCTCTCACTTTCTAAGACTGAGACCTTGGTTGGAGTTGTTAGGAAGCCCAAGGCCAGGAACTCAGAGGCTCAGCTGAAACCTCTGACTTTGGTTACCCCGGTTTCTCACCTCATTCCCTGTGACCTGGCACCTGCCTTGTCCTACCAATTGGCTTCTGACTTAGCCCTTGGATTCATCATTTGATATCCCCAGTCCTGGAGACTGTAGTCTAAAGTTCAGTCACCATGGCTGGGCTTCCACTCTGAAACCTCTTTGTCGCCTGTTTGGACTCTACTTCTACCTTATTGCCTGCTGCTAGCCTGCCCCTCCCCCCACTCGATCATCTGGTCCTGTTTTGGGGACACCCGCAAACTCCTGTGTTTGTGTGGTCTCCAGATCCCCAAGACCCCAGATATGGCAGGTCCTAGCTCTCACCAAGCGCCCAGGCTCACAGAGAGTAATTGTGTTTAAATCTCTCCAATCTTACTTCACTGCATTCATGAGGGCAGAAAAAACCCTAAATTTAAGTCTCATTTTCTGTTCTCTTTATTCATAACACAAGAAGCAGATTTTTCACTGACCAGAGATGATTCACAATCCCTTTATTTCCTGAAAGAATTAATTGTTCTTAGTGACCAGTTGGATGCACCCAGAGACCTGAGAGAATAATTTGCAAGATCTGTTATGAGTCATGAGGATGCACGCTGCATATTACATTTTATGGTGTCTTTTATAGCCACTGAAGTAAATATAAATGTCCTTTTTGTTCAAGGTAATGGTTACTCGCTTTTCACTTTGGGTTTAATGGTTGGCTTCCTGCTGCCTTGGGATCTAAGACATCAGCATGTTGCCAGAACAGTTATCCAGAGAGAGCTGAGAGGCTGGGAGAGCTTGGGGTACAGAGCAGTTGGAAAGTAGGAGGGGTCAGTGTTTACTGAGTGCCTTCCATGTGTGAGAGAACATGCTAGGTTCTTTGCAGATAAGTTACATCATTGACTTGTCTCATCAGCTTTATGAGGGCAAGGGGTCATTAGCCTCATCTCACAGAGATGGGAACTGAGGCTCAGAGAAATTTAGTAATTTGCTTGAAGTCACACAGCTGCTGAATGAGGGTCCATGCTTTGCTTTTTATTCCACAGTGTTGGAGATATGGATTACGCCTGCTCCGTGAGCTGTCATATGTGCCTGAATTGTGACTCTAACACCCTGACTTCAGAGAAAGTTGGGTTTTCAGTGGAAGTGGGGGAGTGGATGGGTGAAGGAGACAAAAAGTTCTGGAAGTGCAGACTGAGTCCTGCATGTTCCTCGGGCCTAAGGCAGAATGGACCTGGACCACTGTGATACTGCAGTGCAATTCTGATGCTGACCACCTAGAGCTAGTACAGACTCTGTTCCCTTAAGCACATAGTTCCCATAAGACTGCTTTCACTTCAGACACAAGTTGCATGTTTGGGGGTCCCTAGGCCATCTACACTTTTGACCAACTGACTACAAATTTGGGGGTTCCCACAACCCCCTCAGATTTGATAATTTGCTGAATGACTCACAGAACTCGGGAAAGCACTACACTTGTGACCAGGCAAAATGAAGAGACACACAGGGTGAGGTCTGGGAGGATCCCGAATGCAGAGCTTCTGGGTTCTTGCTGTGAAGGGAACCTCTTGGCACAGAAATGTGTTCGTTGAGCTTCAGTGTCCAGAGTTTTTATCAGGGTTTCATTATATAAGCACGATTGATTGAATCATTGACCACATGACTGAGCACAATCTCCAGCCCCCCTTCCCTCCCTGGAGAAGGTGGGGCTGCTATCGACCCCATCCTGGGTCATTTAGCATAAGCTCAGGTGTGATCCAGGGGGCACACCATGAATAACAAAGATACTCCCATCACTAAGAAAATCCAAGGATTGAGAGGTCGTCTCCCAGGAGCAGACAAAGCAACAAAGACCAGGCAGATTCTTCACTATGTAACAATCACTCTGGTGTCTCCTCATCCTGTGTACTTGGCCTGAGGTGCGTCTTTATCGACTGACCACTGGCCTATGCCTTCTGCTCTGCCAGGTGGAGCCATGTCTGGTGGATCCACCTCAAGATCTCTGTTCTGCAGCTCAGAGAGTGTGCACGTGAGTTTATACGTGGGACCTTTGCCCTGCTCCCTTCTGTCCTGTGGAACTTCCATACATTGATTTGGGTTTGGTGCTTCCAGTACAATCCTGCGGCTTTCTTCTCCCAGCAGTTACAATGTGTCAGGAAGTCAGCACCAGCTTACTTTGAAGAGCACCTTCTCTTTTAACCCTTGGATCCTTACTCAATTTAGGTGTTGGCTTCTTCGATTTGGGCAACATGGCTATAGTTCCCCTTCCCTCTTCTCATCCACCTGAGGAGAATTCCAACTCGATGGCCCATTTGGCTTCTCGAGTATGCACCCAGCTGATAGGAAGTGCGGATGTCCTGGTTTGTAGTAAGTGCTCAATAAACACGCAAATATTTAGACTCTCAGAATGCTTCACTATTTTCAAGGGAGTTGAAACCTGTGTATTTAAAAAGAAGCTGCACATGCCAGTCTCCCTCTGCTAGGAACACTGCCTTGTCGATTGTCAGGTTAATTTCCGCAGTGTTCTGAGCCCACTCCCGGGATCAGGGCTGGTCACTCTCAGGATGATGGGCTGCTAGGTGCCCCCATCCTCCACCACTTCACGGCTGTAGGGACTTCTGATGACGTCTCAGAAAATGAGTGTGGCTCCAAGCAACACAAATCCTCAGGGGCAGTGCTTTGGAGGTTTGGAATTACCCTCAGTGTAAGCAAATGTGAGAAGGGTGGGATGGAGCCTTGCCGAGGGACACTGGGGCTTCAGCAGTCTCAAGGTGTGGCCAGGCGGAGCTAGGGTCTGAGCCGGGAACTGGTGACTGGGCAAGATCTGAATAGACAGGATGAACAGGGTCTCAGAGAGTTCCTGGCAGCCTGGCCTGCTGGGGGTGATGTTTGCTGGGCTAGATCGGGGGTGAGAGGCCTTGAATGCCCGGTGACCTGGTGCCACTGCTGTTTGTAACTGGCCAAGGGGGACTGGGGAGGCCCCGTCTCCTAAGCTTTAAGTCTGCAAATATTTTGGTAAAAATCCATTTGTTCAGAAAGGCTCTGCTCTCACCTCCTTTCCTTCCTCCCTCCCTCCTTCCCTCCTGTGGAGTAAAGCTTATTACAAAGCTGCTCTCTCCTTTTCTAAAGGAAGGATGAGGGACCCGCAGCAGAGCAAAGATTAAGCCTTGGGCTGTGATGTCCATGTTCCTACAGCCAGTGCCTCCTGGCCCGGTTTACTTGACTTCTCTGGAGGCTGCCTCAGCCCCTGTCATCGGCTAGCTCCTCTTCTAGCCAGGTCACCGTGCCCCTGGCCAGCACTGCAAGGGACAGAAAGCACTCTTTCTGCCCAGTTCTGCCTTTGGCTTAACAATAGCAAAGAGCCTCTGGTGTTTCTTCCTGTTTTTCTCTTTCCCTTGTGTAAAGGGAAGTCCAGGCTGGTGAAGTGGTGAAGCGATGGGTGTCAATAGCCCCCGACTCCTGACATTTCAGCTCCCATTTCCTCATCCCTCCTTCCTGAGCAGTGCTTTCCAAACTTCCCTGTATACATAAGTAACCTAGGCTAATGTTAAAACACAGGTTCTGCCTCAGGGGGTCTGCGTGGGGCCTGAGACTCAGCATTTCCACCCAGCTCCCAGGGGACGCTGATGCTGCTTGTCTGAGGATGATGCTTTGAGCTGCAAGGTTCTGATCAGTGGTTCTCAAGGTGTGGTCCTGGGACAGGCAGCATCAGCGTAACCCAGGAGCTGGTTAGAAATGCAGATCTCAGACCCCACTCCAGATCTGCCGAAGCAGAGCCTCTGGGGGTGGGACCCAGCAGTCTGTTTTAATAAGCCCTCCAGGGAATTCTGATGTACACTCACGGTTGAAATCTCTGGTCTACAGTTCTCAACTCTACCTGCACATCGGGATCACCGGGAGAGCTCTGAATGCCCAAGATTCTGATTAACTTGGTTTAAATGAGGGCCAGGCATTTAAAACAATTTTTAAAAACTTTTTATTTTGAAATAACTTTAGATTTACAGTAGGTTGTAAAGATAGTACCCAGAGGGTACCCACATAGCGTTCACCTAGCTCTCCCTAATGTTAACACCTCACATAACCAAGGTAACCTTTATTAACACTAAGAATTAACATTAGTACAATCCCATCGACCAAACTATTCCAGTTTCATCAATTTCCCCACGAATGTCCTCACCACGTCCCAGGATCCAGTCTAGGACGTACTTCACATTCATTTGTCATGTCTCCTTAGTCCCTGCTCTAGGACAGCTCCTCAGACGTCCCTTGTTTTTCATGACCTTGACACTTTGGAAGGGCACTGGCCAGGTACTTGTAGATGGTCTTTCAAGTTTGGTTTGTCTGATGTTTTCTTGTGATAAGAATGGGATTACGGGTTTGAGGAAGAATACCACGAAGGAGGAACACCCCCTCATCATGCCACACCCCGGGAAACATCATATGGACAGGGGGGATGTACTGATTTTGTTCTTTCAAGCTCCCCAGCCAGGGTTGGGACCCAGCGTTAGGCTCATGCACCTTCCAGGTATCTTCTGGAGAAGGAAGAAATGCACCTTATGAACTTCTCCACAGGTGGGCGTTAGGCAGAGCCTCTTTGAGATTAAGGGAGGCCTGGCTATTTCCAAATTAAAAGGCTCCCAGGAAACTAAAAAATGCAGCTATACCAACACAAGGTAATACAAATGGCTGTGTAATTTTAATGTTTACATTTACCACACGTTAACTCTTTAAGCAAACACACAAATGTAGTGACAAATGGATGTAATATCAGAAGCGTGAGCACCAAACCCCTCCCACCAAAAGATAGGCCTGGCACTAGCAATTTTGTTTTCCAGGTGTATTTGCAGCCCTAGACATGGAGATCACTAGTGGGAGGTTGGCAGGGAGCCCTCTGGTCAGTCACTCCTGAGTGGAGTGCATCAGCCTGGACTGGCAACCGCCTCCCAGTGCCCAGAGGGGAAGTCAGAGTCTCAGCTGGGCCAGTGGCCAACTGTTTCTAGCCCACGACTGACTGCCCAAGCCATGAACAACGGAAGTGCTTGGTGATCCTTCCTCTAGGTGAGTAATAACAGGGAGGGAAGGCTGGAGGACGGAGTGCCGGCAGCAGGACTTTCCTCCAAGGTGACACTGGGTGGGACATGAAGTCCTTCCAGGTGGATGAATTGGGGACAGAGGTCAGGGGCTCTGGGTATTCCTTGCCCTCTTGGAGTTTCCAGGGCTGTGTGTAGGTGGGGGTCTTCTTCCCTGGCCCCTGGGTGCTTGCTCCTTCTTGTGCCAAATGTAAGCATGGGCACATCAGAGTGTCCGTAAACATCTGTTGACGGCGGCTGCTACCGTCATGGAGGTCATGCCCTCCAGCCCAAGGGCCTGGGCGCTCTCTACAGTTGGCCTGAGTTCAAATCCTGTTGCCCTCAGTGTTCTGTGTGATCTTGGGCAAGCAACACAACTTCTTTGGGCTCCAATTCCTAGATTTGAATAGAGGGAATAATAGTACCTACCTCACGGGGTCATTGGGAGGAGGAAGTTAGATAATATATGCAATGTGCTTGCAGAAATGCTTAGAGAAGAGAAACCATAGCAAGTGCTCAATAAATGTCACTTATTTTTATGATTAGCCCCCATGGCAGACTGTATTCCCAACGCCTTTTCTTAACCCTGCCCTCTACTTGAGAGGCTGA